CGGCCTCTCTGTGGCCTGTCCGAAGCCTGCCTCCTCTCTTCTTATGGCTTCCGAAGGCAACGTTAGGCATTTTGGCTCGGCTTCAAACGCTCCCCAGAGCCTCACCGCAGCCTTGCCCTCTTCTCGGCAGCTGGTTGAATGCCAGCATTGGTGTGAAGCCCATCCAAGTCTCGCTGTTGAATCCTAGGAAGTTGTCAAGGTTCAACCGCCAAACCCTCGAGATGAAAAGGGGTCGGCGGCACCCGGGCGGAGCCCTTACAATATACAATCATTCCCGCGGTCTGTGCTCGCGAGCTACATATCCCAACCAAGCACCATGATGGATGCCCTACTATGCCTGCTCCAAAGTGCTGCGCTGACGCATCAGCGAAGGCCCATCTGATGGAGCAGCAGCACGACTCATCTGCGCAAAGGCCTTCGTTCCGACTGTGACAGCATGCTGGATCACACGCTGTGCAATGCGTCAAGTGGCGAAGTTGGAATCTCTGCGTGTGTTTTTGTGTGTGTGTGTGTGTGCGTGTGTCGCTTCTTCTTTACCATCCCGGGCCGCCGAGCTCTCCCACTCACAAATGATGAAAAGGATAGTTAAATCATGTTAAATCATCAATCCAAGCAGAGTGACAAACTCTCACCAAATGGACTCTAGACTCTTAAAATCTCTCAAACCATCGGAAAACCGGTGTCATCCAGGCCTCCGGGTACTTGGAGACAATTCGAACAATCTGTCTGTCCAGAGCTTTCTCCTCAGAAGAGAACCCAGGCAGGTGCCTTCTGAGGACGCGACTTCTGAGGTCGCCAAGATTCTGTCAGGTTCACGGAGAGGCCTGCATTTTGCTGAGCAATGTCCTCAGTTGAGCCAGATGCGATGAGAAACGGGTAGAAACAAAGGGTGAAACAAAGAAAACGGCGAAAGGAAGTGTGACTCGAAAGATGCCAGAAACAAAAACAAACAAAGGAAGGGCGACGTTTCACGGGTCAGTTTTTAACGGCGACTTTTGAAGGAGGCCAGATACATCCAGGCTTTCAAACCAGACACTCTCCAGTAGAAGTTCTCGATGTTTTTCTCCAACTTTTCCCTCAAGCCAGGCTCGAACTCGCGCTGATGCCGATGCCTAGCAGGCAACGAGCTGTTCGAAGTTTCAACTGCAAGGGAACCCCGGTATCAACCAATATCAAGGTGCCTCCCTGAAGAACACGAGGACAATGACAGGGGAACCCCTCAAGACCTACCCTCGTGATCATCTACATAGGCCAGTAGGTCCTACGATGCTGCAAATGTGCATGACCAAATTAAACTGGCCCACACCCACGCCTGGCACACATCTCGCAAATTTGTGCTAGCTCTGCTGGTGTGTAATCGTCTAAATGCAGCCGGTTTGGGAAGCGTCGTGCCAAGCCCTCCTGCCGGAAGAACCAACAAAAGATTTTCCCGCAACATCCCACAACATGGACAAGACTTCCTACCTGTTCCGCCTCTCCGCAGTGCGAAAGCACGTTGAGTCCGCCTCACACCATATTCCCTTGTCAAATCTTCTTTTGAGACCAACCCTGCCCCTGCCCATAACTAACCGAATCTGGGCATAGCCCCCATCCCGCACCAGAATCTGGGAGTGTCCTCTGCTCGCATCAATCTGCCCATCTTCTCCTGCAGAAAATCAGTAGGCCACTCACAAGTGCTTACTCGACACTGAATGCCCAGCACAAACAGCTCCAGCTGCCAGCAGCGCCCTCAAACAAGGTCCAATCTTGGACGCCTTGTAGCCTGCCAGCACGACCATGAGATTGGTGCGGTGGTTCTCCACTTCAGTGAGAAGAGTCCTGCCCGTGCAAACGGCAGCTCAAGGTTCAAGCAGTACTCATGGCGAACTATAGCGTCTGCATCTACAGGACGCTATAATAAAGGTCAAAAAGCTGAAACACTTGTTCATTGGCGTCGCTATAAGCCCCCATTGAGATGACATTGGTTCGATCGCCGCCGCTGTGAGTCACTTGCACACGAAGAACAAAAAAGGGCCCGCCTGAGTGCCTCTTGAGAAAAGGCATCTCCACCACCGCCCACACCAGCCGCCGAATCCATCAAGGCATAAGCTTCATCAAGAAACAGGCCTCAAACCCGCTCCGGTCCTCCTAAAGGTGTTGTGTCCTTTGATTCAAGTCCTTTGGAATGGGCAAGGAGGTCTGACAAAATGTCCTGCGAGTCTTACTAATAGATACTAGGTTCTTGGCTTTAGTTCCGGCGCGTTTCGCGCCGGAATCGAGCAGTGAGGAGGGGAGGGAGCGTTACCTCTAGCAAGGTTGCAGCCGGGAGGATGCAACCACCTGACCTACCGTCCAGGCTCATGAGAGGTCTCGAGTCACCCAAATGGTCCACCTCAGCCGGACTGGCAGTGACATTAATCAACCAGGATGCAGCCACCCATTGCCTCCTGGACAGCTGCCTGGCGAAAGTCGCTTTTGAACGTGAGCAACTTTCAAACTGCTTTTGCACAGAAACAGCTCAGATCACCAAGCAAAGCAAGTACAGTAACATAGTGTCACGGCATGAAACGGGTTTTTGGCTCACTGAAGCTTCCAACAAACCTACCATACGTCGATTCGCTTTGCGTTCAATCGCCTTGACCCTTGGCGCTGTACCACCCATGAACTCTGCCTTCAGTTCAAGTCCTAAGCACATCTTCCAAGCAATGAATGATAAGTGCGGAAACAACCTGCCACCTATTCCATGGGTGCTTGTGTGTCTCTTTACCCTCCTCAGCCTTGCCCAAGACAGCTTGATCCCTCATACATGGCAAAGCCACCGTTTTTCTCGACAAAGCTGTCTTTGGGCAGCACCCCATAGGTGTGGAAGAAGCGCGCCAGCAGCCGTGCGAAGGTTGTCTTGCCCGTTCCAGGATTCCCAGTTATAATGATATTCCTCGGCGTGTCTTCCCTAATCTGCCGAGTGGCAATGAAGGAAGGCACCACACAAATGGATCCAGACTTGCACTTCACCCTAGCATTCTTCTCATCACGTGTCACAAAGCCCAGTTGGTATGAAAAGGAGTCACACAACGAACCAAATGTTCAACCTTCAAACCACAGCCATCGGAGGCTGCACCTCAACCCTCTTGCTGCCAGTGTCAAGCACACTCGGAGGTCGCTGCGGGTGCCCGTCTGCTCAACAAAGGCGACCTTTTGGCGCACCTGGTTCAGGTGGTGGAGCGGTGGAGCGGTGGAGATCCGCCCCCCAAGCATCTCACACAGGGCAGAAGCGGACCGCAACTAGCATGAAAAATGGACCGCAGCAGTACTGTAGCGCGCGCATGGTGTGAGAGGTTACTACAAAGGATGGCATCTTGGATTTCATCCAAAACCCGCTTCAGGCATCTTTCTGGATCAATTGCTCGTGCCCCTTGCCTGCGCAAACCATTCCTTGGCTTTGGCCATGCCTATCAAATTGCCTCAGTTGCAGGACTCGGCTGCTATAGCAGAAGAAATGAATCACCATCAAGTTGTGTCCCGATGGTCCAGCAAGAACATCACATGGAACATGTTAATGGCCTAAAAGCTTCAGGAGGCAGAAAGTGTGCTTTTCTTATCTTACCGGGTCTTATAACAACATCCATGTGGATTAGCCGCGGACGGACTGCAATTAAGAACTCCATTGTACGCGTGGCCAGTGTCGACCGTGTGAGGTGACAAGCTGTGCGTCGACAGCAGGATTCGATGGGGAAAGGGTTGTGAAGGGTGGTCAAGTCGGAACCTTCAAGAAGAAAACTTGTCCTAGCGGTGTAATCTGAACAAATGACAAGAGCTCATCAATTGTCAAATGCCTCCTGATTCCTCCGGTGTGCGCTTTGAATGGGTGATCCTTCTGTGGAGCAACTGGGACAAAAATTCAGACACTCAAGCCGGTGTCGAAATTTGTGGTCGGCAAGGCTCCGACTTCCTCGTCAATAGCATCTTTTTGCTCGCGGCCCTCACCAATCGGAGCACCCACCTGCGGCCAAAATCGCGAAGATGCAGAGGAGGGGCTCCCTGACATGGTGAGAGTTTGGGCAACAATTTGTAAGACCCCACATGGTAGGTCTGAAGCCATCATCATTTCGGACAGGGCACAACTCTTGTCTATCAGTGTTGTCGCGCCAGCACATCACCCAATGAAAACTCTGTCGCACATTGAACCGCAGGCACACCTCAAAGTCTTCCTTTGTCAAGTGCTCACTTTCTGGCGTGTCACTCGGCGACTCACCCTCCTGGATGCTGTTGAACAGCCTGGCAACAAAAAAATGGAAAAGACCTATTCCAAAGTGTTTCTATACCGTCTATACCTGTGCAGTGTGTGTGTATGCAAGTAGACTTTTCACATCCGTTGAATCTTTATATAAATAATTTGAGTGCTGGACTACACGGTGAGTTTCTTTGCCAGGGGCAATCAACTGCAGGCTCTGACCGTCCCTCGCATGCTGTGCATGGCCCTTCCTGGTGATCCGATTCTGGACAGCTCGTTGAAGCAACCGCCGCGCCAGCGCCAAGTTCCCCCGCTCACCCAACTCCTGTCGCTGACATGTGCGGACCGCACAGCAGGTTGACCAGCTAAGTAGTCTAGAATCATCTAGAATCTCGAGTTTCATATTCACACGCACGATCCAATCTGCTACCTGCTACCTAAAACAAGCGAAGAAAAGTTGAGAAGACATCGCGGATACGATGATGTCACACCCATTTGGATCATGCCAAGGTCTTCCGGGTCCTTCCCCTGGCCACCTCCACCGTACACCTCATTGAGGTGCTCGGCCAATCGTGGTGCCAGCTGATCCTCAAAGGCCAGGGCACCTGCAAGCAAGGCAAAAAGAGAGGGCCTGAGAGCCTTTTGGGAAGGAAACTGTAGGATTTTCAGGATGTTCAAAGTCTTTGATAGTGTGCTCTCCCGATTTCATGCATCAACAGGCTCCAACAAAACACCTTCAGGAGCTGCAGAACAACACTCGATTGAACTCATTCCGCGCCAACTCACAATGTGTTCTGCTCCAGTCACTGACTGAAGCCCCGCATGTCGCCTGATGGGAGCTTGCTGGCAGAAATTTCCATGAACTGAACCAGCTCGGTTGCCAGGAAGTCAGGGATTTGCACAGTTGTTGGAAATCTGGCCTTCAAGGCACCACTCAGGCAAAGCCAGCAATGTGTTTCGACCCACATGTCCAAGGCATCACGCCAAACTTCCAAAATGTCCATACATCTCACCTTTTCCAATCGAAAATGCATCTCCACAAAATGCAGACGATGGGAGGAAAAACAGCCTCTACCACGGGGACCCTTCTCACCTCGAGGGCAGGTTCCATGCGGGCAATCCGTGCCAGGCCCTCGAGCGCCAGGCATGTCAGTCAGCGGTTGACAGAGGAGAATATGTTTGGTTGATTGAAGTTGATGAAGGGACATTGCCGTTGCTGCAAGCAACTAGTTTTTATATCGTTTGGGAGTTCTTATCCTGACAAATCCACTACCCTACTGATGGCAAGCACAAATCTCTGCTGTTTCTTAGTTCTTATGAAAAGCTCTGGTGCATCAAATGCGCCTATGAAACCATGTTTGAGGTTGAGGTGGTAACTTTAGGTCGATCGCTTCATCATCTTCATCGAATTGACCCCTTTTTTCGCTGACGAATTCACCCAGCCTGTTGCGTTCCCAGTATCACGAAGAGAGTGGTGCCACTGCTGGCACCATCAACGTTGCCCAACGCCGCGGCCAGGGCTCTCACTGCTTCCCGCGAGTCGACCAAGGCATCCACGTCCTCGACGGTGCGGGTCGTGGCGACGGGAGTAGGCGGAGTGGGCTCCGTCCAAGCGGTTGAGCTCGATAGCAGCGGATGATTCTCATCCAACGTGGACCCTCCAGGCCCAAAAAAAAAGCAGAAACTCTCCGCTGTTTAAGATCGTTTTACCCAGGTGACCTAGTTTTATTTCTCAAGTAGGCCAACTCCGATGTGCAAATAAAGCCATTAAACACCGACAAGAAATCACTGGAAGAAAATGATGCTAGATTGGAAGGCGCGTTGCCAAAAAAGTCAGAAATCCATAGAAATCCGAGGCAACAAACTGAAACGGCCGGCTGACTTCCTCCTACCTCTCCCTCAGCTCCTTAATGGCTAGGCAGCCATGCTCTGCAGCGACCAAGCGTGCAGCAATCAGCTCAGTCGGGTCTCCTTTGTCCGCAATTTCCTGGCCATCCACCTGGAAGGGCTACCCCAAACAATGAAGGCCCTGATCTGCTAAAGAGGGACATGGTGCATTCCGACCTTCCCACCGACATCCAAGAAATACCACGTGCAACCGAGCTGCCCAGCTCACTTCCTCGCGGCTGATCGCCCCCGCGGCGCGCAGGAAGCAGGTGGCGAGGCGAACGAACGTCTCGCGGCCGGCGCCTCGAGAGGTGCAGGCGACGAGTCAGTGTAACCGGCGCCAGGAGGACGGTCAGGACGAGTCAGCAGAAAAGAAACTCCAGCAAATCAAGAAAAAAGATATGTGGGTACCAAAGGATAGTGCAAAGTAAACAGCCTGCATTGGCTGCTACCCACAAGGCCCGTGGCATATGCAAAGCTCCTTGCATCGCACCAGCACCACCGCAGGAAGCTGCACTCCAGCCACTGCCACGAGGGGCTTGCCCCAGTTGACGGCGGAGCTGAAAGAAGAAATGGCGCGCACTGCCCGCCTCCTGTAGACAGCCACTTTCGCTCGCCGGGTCTCTGTAATGGAGAGAGTAGAGGAGTGGCCCTATCTGCACATGTAAAGGAGTGGCCCGTCCAAACAATGACGCCGCTACTACTTGTCCGGGGCACTACGAAAGTCCCATACTTGTGGAATTTGGAGATGGAATTTTGAGACCATATGCACAGAACTCCGAGACTGCGACTCTGCACGTTCCTGGCCTCCTCGCTGCCCCAACCCACTAGTTGCTCCACCTCCGCTTCCACTTCCCGCATGCGTCGTTCTCGCTGTTCTGCAGTGAGGACATCCTGGGCCAAGTTCCCCTTTGCAAGTCTTTCTTGACAAGTTTGCCATTCATGGCTTGGTCGATGCGACACAACTTGTCAACGAATTCCCGCATCATCTGGGGCCTACCCCCCCGCAGACTAACATGGACCGTGAAAATGGACCCTTGCAAGAATCTTCTCATCTACCACCCAGTGGTTTTCAGGGTCCATGCGGGTTTTTTAGGTAGGTAGGTAATCAAGAAAGGCCCTCATCGCCTGACACCGAGGCACCAACCCAAAGTCCATGGGCGTCAAGCGGAAGCGCTCCGCACTGTCCAAGCTGTCTGCCCAGGTGCGGTCGTTCTTTCGGGAGATTGCCAAATCCTGGGAGATGAGAAGACGACCGATTGGCGTTTCGTTTTTGAAGCCCGGGGGGGTAGGCCGCTAGTAGCTAGGTAGGAAGTAGCTAGTAGAAGCTAGGTAAGCTACTACCTGCAAGTAAGCTACTACTGACAGGGCGCGGGATAGCTTGCGCTTCTTCAAGGAAGCTCCCCGCCGCCTTTAGCACGCCAAAGCTTCCTTGAAGAAGCGCTCGCACCACTGATTAGGTTCCTAGATGTTTAAGGAAACTGAACATTGGCATTCATCATTGTATAAAGCTAGATTGATCCCCTTCCGTGCTGTGAAACCGTACGACGGTAGAAACCTCCAAGCATCCAAAACGTCCCGCGCCAGGTGCCCATTCTTCTCTCGGATCAGCTTCTCGTCGAAGCGCTGCGCCACAATGTGTTCCAGAACGGTAATGAGCTGCCGGGTCCCCACGTCGCCCTCACCTTGGACAGAAGTCGCGTTACCTTCGCAGATAGATCGAACGCACAAACACCGCAACTACAGGTTCGGGATGATGTTCAGGTGCAGGAATGCTTCTCCGTCAACCAACATGCAACCCAGCTGCACCCTGACTTTCCCTTCAACCCAGCCCTGGATAATGGAATGGATAGATTGTCTAGATTGCCCAGCCTCGTGGACACACCAACCCCAGCCAAGCACTACAAACTGCACCACCAAAACAAAACCCAATACTGTAACTGTATGTCACTTATTTCTGATGCAGGAACTTTCCTTGGCCCTCTTCTGTCCCTTCCCCCATTCTTCCGTCCCGCCTACGCCTTCATATCCACGCTTCTCCACCTCTGCAGCAATGAGGTTCGCCACATCATTCACGCTTAAGGTGGGCAGTGTCAGCAGGTCCGGCTGGCGGCGGCGAAAGGCCGAGAGCTGCCTCTGCTGAGACACGTCGGCCCCTACCGCTGATGAAATAGTCTAAAACATCCAATAGCCCAATAGCAATGGTTTCCCGAAAATGTCTTGGTTTGGCATCTGGCGCACGAGAAGGCTCTGCATAATTCACCACATGCTGAGACCAACTACTCAAAAGGCAATGATTTCCGTCAACGACTTGGTCGTTGCCGGGCATGCCCCAAGGCCAAGGTAGAGTCTTCTAAGCCGGCTGCAATACCCAATACATTCCTGGACTCCAGAACTTTAGGCTATGCCAAACACGGACGATGTTCCACTCGCAGAGCCTTCTGACTTGTGTCGGGAGGCATGTTGGCTTCAACCACCTCCGGTGGTCCAGCCATGATGACCACGCTGCCCACCTCCAACACCTATCAGGAGTATCATGAGAACACGAAGGGCAATCCATCAAGCAACCCTTTCCACAAACGCTTTTCAGGCGCTGAAGATTTGACGGGGCACCTGGTTTCCGAAAACGTCTGAAGATTTGACGGGACGGGGAACCTGAAGGGCCAGTCCCGCAGCCTGCTCCAAGATCTCTGCATCCTGCTCCGACAAACTTCCACCCAAACGCATGTAGAAGCAGCTCCGGTCTGCGACTCGGAGCTTTTGCGTTTTGGGGTCCAGCCTCGGACCGGCAAAGCATGTCCCATCGACATGTCATATGTCGACATGAAAAGGACCTTACTGCTCTCGGACCCCTCCACCCCTTCGCCAAAAACGAAGAAATGTTTTTCCTCTCGCGGCCAGTTCACATGACCCACACCTCAACATCCAGTGCCAAGGATCAACTCTGTGAGTGCCTGGATGGAGATGAGCAAGTCCGGCTCTGCCACAAGTTCCTCCGGTTTGTAGTTGCCTTCCAAAGGTGAAAAAACCGGCCGTGGGTTTCATTTGGATTCCCCAGGTTCCTGGCTGAACGGAAAAGACAGCAGTTGCGCCCATTTCAATGGGAAGCTTAGTTGGAATTGTTGCAACATGTTGGCCACCGTGTTGACTCTCCTGGCCTACACGGCCAGATGGGCCCTTGACTTTCAGAGGCTTTGGAGAGCCCGGAGGCAACTCTTCTGTGACGAGGCCCACATCATTCTTGCTGAGCAGGGCACCTGTGACCAGTGATGAACCAAAAGTTTCAAATCGCTGTAGGAAGCAGGAAGAGGAAAAGGAGGACGAAATGACAGGAGTGGTTGCAAAACAAGTATTCTTGTCTTGCTGCTTTCCTCGGATCAGCACGCACCTAGCAGCATCTTCCTACGTCCGCTTCCAATCACATCTTGTGCGTCTCATTGTGTGCTCTCACCTCTCACCCAGCACACACGGCTCATTACATGTTTTCCACCCGCCTCTGTTCTCAGCATCTTGCCACGCGGCCAGGCGCACTTTGCTGCCCACTCGCACAGAGGCCTCGTATGCAAATGTGCTGCACCGGACGCTGTAAAACTAATGGTGATAGAACATCGAAGCCATCTCAAAATGTCTCCATAGCTTTCCGTAGATCTGAGCTACCCGGACTACCAGCTGGTTGTTGAGGAGTCCAAAAAGTCTCCCAATGAGCTCGGCTGCCACGTGCTTCCCCACGCCGAAAGCGCCGCTGATCAGCACATGTCGGCGTGGCTGCTTTCCTGCTTGACTTCGTGACCAGGTGCCATGGCCTTTGTTACTAAGTTACTAGCAGAGGCCCAAGGGCAAGAGGCTTCTAGTAGCGTCCTTGCTCCTAGTATAAAGCTTCTTTAAGGCTACCCCAACCGTTTTCATTGCAAACAATCCTCTAAGCAGCCTGCTGCACATGGGAAGGGTCTTCTTCAGGCCGGCGTCTTCTTCCAAGAATAGACGCTGAAGGCATTGAAGGCAGCATCTTTAAGTCTTGACATTGAGAAAGAAAAGGTCGGAGGTGTCCCACCCAGCATGGTCCGACCAATTGGCTTCTCCAATTTACCCAAAAGCTCCTTCTTTGAGGACGTGGCGACCGGCTGCATCTCGCAGCCGCTGCACGATAAACTCCTCCAGCGACATCCCGGAGCAAATGCGCAGAACATTAATGAAAGCGTGAAGAGGTAGGCCCAGGTAGGCACTTGCAACATAGATGTCCTAATCAATCCAGAATTTTTTGGAGCAATCATATCAATCAGCTCGTGGAGGCGTTAAAGTTACAGTAGTTAAAAGGTCACAAGAGTAGAACAGACGACCTGCTGAGGACTACTGCGATCTGTACCCATTGGACTGTGTCTTGTCTCTCTCCGAGACTCGGCAGTCTTTCCTTCACAGGCTGCAGTCCAACCGCACGGTCCAGGTCGGCCTTCAACCTGCTCAGGGGTCATGAGCCATGAGCTCATCACGTCTTTGATGCTGACATGAATATCATGTGACTTAATGACAGGTTCCGGCATATATGAACAGGCCAGGTTCATCACGTCAAGAAGTTCGGTTCATCACGACTGACGTCAATTTTCACCAGACCTGACCCGACCTGACCTGCAATAAAACTCCTGCTCCTCTCTCTGCCAGAGAAGCAGGGCAGCCAAGCGGTCAGTCTCAGGACCTCAAAATCTTCCGCTAAAACAACATGTTAAAAGAATTGCACAAACCATGAAACGAACACCAATGGATACCAATGGTCTCTGCCATTCTCTACACATCATCATGCTTTCGTTCAGCCCGCTTCGTTGTGATGCCCGCAGAGCGCGTCCAAAGACTCCGACAGGAGATCTCTGGGGCTTCGACTCTCGCGGACACGCTGCACCTGCGCAGCACAGGTAGGACAGGTAGAAGGCTGAGACAGGTACTCGGGCGCTGAAACTAGTATGAAAATGTGTGGTCCTAGACCCATGCAGATTGCAGCCTGACCACGTTGGAAGTGCACGTAGGCACTGAGGAAACATAGACATAGTCCAGTCAGGTGATGAAAGCTCTCCATTTGGGATTCTCCCAAATTTGGACCATGAGAATCCCAGATCAAGCAGCAGGTCATGCTCCAAAGATCATCACTCCCCATCAACACATCTGGGCGGTCCCAAAATTCCCTCTCAGATCAACCTCGACTACTTTCTCCCACTCCCAGCAAGCATACCTCATGCACTGCTAGTGCCTCATTGTACTCCCGAAGTTCTCGCGCTTTGGTCAAAGCCAGTTTTTTCCTCGGATCGCGATCTTTATCGGCTCGTCTTCCACATGCCATCCACCATCCCGTGCACATGTCATGACTCATCGGATGTTGGGCGTCCTCCATCTCGAATTCCAGGCCACTTCCCAACCCTAAACCCTAAACCCAATTTGTAGCGTCCTTGCTACTAGTAGCAATGGCCTCCAACCTAATAGCGATGGCCTCCACCTAGCAGCATCCTTGCTACTAAGTAGTAGCAATGGCTCAAAGAATGCCTCACAATCTCAAAAAGTGAACTGTCCCTGCCATGTCACTCCTCAATGCTTCGCCACAGGAACTTCAAGCGGTGCTCATCACTATATCTAACAGAGCTGCCCTGCCCTGACAAACACAGAACGCATTTGAGTGGAACTACCCAGTGCCACGGTTCTTCAAATCAATTCTTATTTGGCCATGTCTCTAAACACCCTGAAACCCAACAATGAAACACGTCGGAACTCCAAATGGATCAATGGGCCAACCCTTGGATCAAGTCATTAAGAAAGGCCTCCAGGCTTTGGTGCGCTGGGAGGTGCTGGCTTCGGAGGTACCACTGGTGCCGCTGGTGCCGGAGCCACGGGGGGCACCACTGGAGCCGGTGGCTGGCCGCCCAGCTCGCCACTCCCAGTGCCTGGACCAGGCAAGAGAGAAAGCCATAGATTCGGGCAGAGATTGGGACCCTTTGATGACTTGGGCCGACAGCTTCACAACCAACTCATGACTCATGACGAACTGCACCCTCTGCCAGGCCTGGGCCTGGCGCATAAGCACCTGAGTCTTCTCGACCTCGTCACAGGGTCCACGGTTGAAACCCATATCTTGGAGAAATACACAGGATTTATTTCATGTGTGTTTTTGGCTGGGCATCCACACACCGCTTTCATCACTTCCATCGTCGCTTGGACCCCGGGCTCTGAGGTGTTGATGCTCGTGGAGCGTCCTGCGGACGCTCAGCTGGTCGCACCTCCTGGAAAACCGGGGCTGTTGGGCGGGACGCACATCCTGAGAATGGAGAACATGCCCGACAAGAGTGTTCCATTCTATGCTCTTCCCGACAGCTTCCCGGTAGTACCATCCTGACCCCCCCCCAAAAAAAAGCGAAAGGACGAGATCCGCTGGAAAGGTCGAGATCAGTCCATGGCCCAAAAGTTCTCCTCTCTCAGCTCTGTCAGGAAGATCTCCTCGCGGACCCGGGTGTCAAGCGACATTGAGGAATGGTCCCGGCAAAACCACATCATCATATGAGATATACATACAGTGTATGTATCTTGTGTATGTGTGTGTGAAAAAAATTACAAACATAGAGTATATCTATAAATACATGTATGTAATATATACATGTACAGTGTGCATATCCATAAGTGTGTGAGTGTGAGCGTGCTCCTTCTTCCACACTTGTTCAAGACTTCCCTCACTCTGCAGAATTGACCGCCGTCGAAACACTCCGAGCCGCCCGCACCTGGCCGTTCCTCACGCCTAGGGTCTCCAAGCTGGGAAAAGCCTCCATGGAAGAAAAGGAGCTGTAGGCAGGCAAGGCCTCCGAGTTCGATCACGAAGCCCAGCAAGGCTCATAGGTTTGGTTGGACTCATTCAACCCATTGAAAGCAAGGATCCTCGGTCTGGGGGTCAACATTGCTTGAGAGGTTGCTCCACCCCTGTCAAGTCAGCATGGCCGTCGTTGTGTAGAGAGGGACTCTAAATGGATTTTCGGTTGCTGGTCCGGCCATGCAAACGAGCCTGCTCCTGAGGCTCGACGGGAAACTTGGACCTAGGCCAGCCACCAATCACCCAATTAGACCCTACAGCGACACAAAAATAGATGAAATACGCATCACTTTAAAACCCGTTTCTATCTATACCTTCAAGATCATTCAAGGACCTCTGTTTATTTGCCCAACCTTGATTTCGTTTGCGGTTTTTGCCCTTTTCCGAGGCCGTTGATGCCAGCGGCTCGTCAGCAGGCTGCAGCAACTGCTTGGGTGGAGCCACATGGAAAGCCTCCTCAATTGCCTCTCCAAGCGGGTTCTGCCAACATGGACGAGGCACAAGACATGATCCATGCTGGCCCCGGCCAAGTATGGTATGCATGAAGGCCAGCAACTCCAACTGTGCAAACCTCACCTGCTTTTGACTCTTGACTGAAGTTCGCTTGATTCATCTTCGAATTGCGGACTAGGGCCTAGGGTGCATCCTTCACCCTGAAGAATCCATGCATGCAAATGACTTTACAATCTGGACTATATATACTCCTCACAAATATGAAGACGGCAGGAAGCTGGTACGGTCAGCACATGCATGCCATGCGGTTGGCTTGGCAAGCCTGATAGAAATGAAAAAGGCTCACTGTGGAAGGGGTCCCGTCCACTTCCACTGGCTTGCGACCTGCGAGTTGCAAAGTGCCATCACAATCATTATATCAGATTCAAAGTTGAATCACAAAGGAAATATGCAATACACAAGCTGGGCTGCAGGTGTCCAATGCATGTTGAGACTAATCGTTGGCATGCACTTGGACCTGCCACACATAAAGCACACATAGCTCCGTTCCGGCGAGTTTTAGTCTATGCAGAAGAAAAAGGTGGCGAGAAAACAGTTGCAGTTAGTTTGGATGACCTTCAGCATCGTGCACCTGTAGTTAGAGGCCATAAGTCAAACTCCGCGATGCGACGGACCGACAGGATGACGTCGTACACTCGTGTCTGCAGAATGCATTAGCCCTTTACGGAAACTTCAAAAAAGGTTGCAGGTACGTCCAGCTGGCCAAGCTGGATATCCCATTTCACTGGTAGCTTCGTTGGACACAGTCCCAGTGAAATGCTGTGTCCCCATTCTGAAAAATATTTAAAAAATATTCAAACCAAACAATCCAACAGGAACCTTGTGACTCCAAAGGTTACCCACACACATCAGAAGACAGGAGGTTTTCAAACTGCACTGTAAATGATGACCTCGGATTCCAGCAGGGAAAAAAGAATGACTTGGCAAAGCTTTCTTGGTTTTGTACAAACGCGCTGTGAGCCAGCTTGCATGAGGAAGGAACAATGCAGCCCCAACCATGGCCCACCGTGCAGATTGAAAGCTGGCTTCGACTTTGTCCAATCAAATCAGCTCGGCCGAGGCCGAGGTGCCTTTCTTCCCATCCACTGTGTAGCGCACGCGGATCAGCAGCTTGGGGGGAGCGACAGCTTTCTCCTACGCCATAGCAGAGAGCTGGATGCGCGGAGGCGCACGTTAACCGTTAACCAGAAGATTACCAGGAGACCGTTGGGTGTTTACACATTTGAGTCACGTCCAGAATAGGCAGCCTCCCGACAAAGGCAAGGACGTCTGCGTTTCTTTCACCAAGGTCTGAGTATTCGCTCCTCTTTGGCGGTGCTCTTCACCGCATTGAACATGTCCCTGTCTGCTCGAATCTCCTTGGTCAAAATGGACATTGGGCAAACTTGCATTCCTGACTCTGGCCTGCCATTCAATACCAGTGACTAGTGGATTCTTTATCCACAACTATCTAGGTGTCTGTGCAAATGCCTGCGCTCACGCGGAAGAACTGCCGTCCATAATTCACACTGGTAGCATCACTGCACTTGAGGCCAAGGGGGGGGGCGAAAGCTAGCGCTCCAGAATGGGAAAGTGGAGGGCAGCGAGGTAGGAAAAAACACGGCGCTCTTTTTGGAGGCAGGGGTGAAGAGTCCTTTATATGTGGCTCTTCGACCTGAAAAATCAGGGGTTAGGATTTGCACCCGGTCGAAAGAAACCTTGCTATCGCAAGAGTAACTCCAGCTAGCTTCGCTAGCTTTCGTGATAAGTTGTAGAGTCTCAGGCACACTTATGCGTAAAATGCCAGCCCGATGAAGTCTGAAGAGACTGTCCAGTGATCAGCCCTGCAAGCACCTTGCCCTATGGCCATCTCAAAATCAGCCGTGGCAGGGCCACATGGTTTCCTAGTAGCTTCTTGTTACTAGTAGCATCCTTGCTCCTAGTAGCGATGCCAGGAGCCCCTAGTAGCATCCTCGTAGTGATGCCATAGAACCAGTGTGGCCAAAAGGGTGAAAGTTGCATCAAGGAACGACAGTCTTGCAGATATGTTGCTGCTTCGATGCGCTCTTTTTCGGCTTTCTTTGCTGCCAGTGCCTGATGGCACTGTGGGTGAAGTCCAAGCTTGGTCCACAGGTCAAGGTCATGCTGAGTGTGGCTTTCGCCTCCTTTTCAGCCTTCGCCCTGGCAGCCTTTTCGGCTTCGGTGAGCACCTGGATCAGTGCAGGTTGGCACCAGTCACTGTCCTGACAGTCCTGACAAGGTCAACTGGGCTTCCCGAACCATTCTGCGTAACCTGGCAGAGGGCGGATTTCGCCCGCGAAAGCTACGGAGGCTTTTGAGACGCCCAGTTTCGTTCTCGCCAAGTTTGGTGCCGTTGGACGGTTGCACCCGGGTGGTCACAAGAAGGCAAAAAGAAGGCAGTTGTCAGCACAATCTTCCTGGTTGAGCTGCGTGCTGTTGGCTTGCCTTTTGTTTGATAGTTCTCGAATACGCCTGCTGTACTTTATCACCTGGCTTTTACTCAGTTCAACTGCAGTTTCCATTGCAATGGCTTTGATCCATGGTTAGGCTTTAGCATGCTAAACTTGAATTGCAAAACAGCTAAGAACATTTTGAAGCTGCTGCAGCCTAGCCATTGACAAGAAGCAAATACCGACGGCGAGAAACCTGCAGTACCCAAGGGTGCTGCTATTGCACAAATGAACTTCTGATCTCTGACGCACGAAGCAGAATACCGTCTTTTCAAGCTGCTCGGCCTTGACCCCAATTGAATGAATCCAAGCCTTCCTTCCCCGGCGACTTCAATCAAGAGATCAGCCAAGCAGCGGCACGGCCGGTCGTCGTGCATTCCTTTTGGGTCCAGCTCTCCCTGCCCCACCCCGCTACGGGGGAGGGGAGACAAAGCTATGACACGTGGGCGCATCTACGGGTGAGATGCGCCGGAGTCTCATGCACGAAAAGCCAAAGCTGGAAACACCGTCATCAGAAGCTAAACAAGGACGTGAAAGCACTTGTCTCCGTACAAAGTGCCTCAAGAAAGCAGCCTGCATGAACGAATGAATACAATACAATACAATACACTATCTCCCGTTCAAGAATTCTCTGAGCTTCTCCAATGTCTCCATGCTTCAGCAGTTCTAGCCTTGCCTGGACAAGGCTCGCTACACTGCAGCCAGCCAAGGTTTTTGACTGTGGCCCTGTTCACCAAGCCTTTAGCAAACAAAAAAGGAACCCACCAAACGCAGGCAATCAACCAACGATTGGTGAGTGCCGTGACTTGCCACCACTCACTTCAAACCTGGCCTGTGCTCTCAGAGTGGCTGCTGGTGCATTTGCCTGCAATAAATACGTTCCGAGCGGGTTTGCAACATGTTTGCGACCATTATGCTGCATGGATTCGCATGAGTGGCTTGTCATCTGTCGGCCTCTTGATCTATCAGCCCACCGACCCCGATCAAAATTCAAAAATACTCCTTGAAATCCTGCATAAGGCCCGCCTAGTTCGCGATGGCGATTAGTTGCCCTTTGCTCACCCATCTTGTAGCCTTTCAGCATGGCTTATTGCAAAGCTCCTTTGGTGTTCTATCGTTTTCACGAATCCAAGCGTTGGCACAAATAGCCCCAAGCACTGGGAACAACTTCCACAAAGTGATCCTGCCCGTGCGTGCCAAACAGCTTTGTACCCTCCAAGGAAGGGCGCCTACGCTCGCACAACACAAAAGTGCTGACAGCACCAGCAGCGCTGTGAAGCCCCAAAGGACGGCTGCAACCTGGGCTGTCAAGGCCCAGGTTGGACTGGCTGCTTGCTTCTCAGGAATCAAGTTTCAACTCAGTAATCAAGTGTAGATCATGGGTAGTGTGGATGTGCCTGTGATAGAGTACCAATCTTAATCTTATCTTATACCTTATACTGGCCGCTTAGTCCCAAACCGTTCTCAATCCATTCCTCTGAGGAAGCGGCCGTCTTGGCCAAACACCAATGCATTGAGCAAAACTCCTCCATGGTCGGCGGAACGGATTGGCATGCAACTGCCCATGAGGACCATTCAGGAGCTTGAGAGAGGCTTGAGAACCACTTATGGTGGTCCTTGCATGCCAACCTGTAGCAGGAATCATATTCCTCGCTCCGCGGATGCTTCCAATGGAACACCTGGCACAAGAGCAATTCACCCAAGCAGACTTGGATTGCCAGGAAGCTTCATGTAAGAAGTCTCCCAACTCCACTGCATCTTCCTGCCTGCAAGTCTTCTGGCTCATTTCGATAGAGGAAAGCGCAGCTGCCAGTCCAGGCACTCCTGCAGGTCCAAAGCCCATATCATGTCTGAAAACCCAATCAGTAGAATGTGAGACTTGGCAGGTTATGCATACTCCAGACCATCCACAAAGGTCATGATGATGATGATGATGATGATGATGATGGTGACGGGAAAGTTCCATGATGTTACCATTTGCTGCTTGTCGCTAGTTCTGATCGTCTCACAGCACAAGCCAGAAAATTAGAGCCACTAAATAGTTGCGAAAAAAATTGCGTATCCTATAGTTCCTTTATTTCGAGCGCTCTCAGTAGACCTCCACATGGTAGCGGTCTGCTATCTTCATGGCCTTTGCGAACTCGGCCCATACCAAGACATTCTTCTCCGCAGTGGGTCCGAAGCACTCAGCCATGCCACTCTCCATGCCTTTCAGTCCGCACATGTGCACGTGGGTCTTATCCTGCATCAAGTCCCACACCTCATCAGCATACTCAGCCATCTTGATCTGGATGTGCCCCGCAGCATTCTTGTCTTCATGGTTAACCGCGTAGTCATATCGGACCTGATGCTCGTCATATCTCGTCATCATAGAGCAAAGACTTGGAATATGGCACGCCATGAACTTGCGGCCATCCCCACTGGCACCAGCCTTGTCATGCAAAAGCAGCTCGAGGTAGGAACGCATCGGCGCAATGCCTATTCCGGTGGCCCAACATTGTCGTCATGTTGGCCAACATTCTCCGTGGGCAACAGCATCCCAGCCCAGTGGGGCCTGTGATCAGAACCCCATCTCAAGGGTTGTAGACCTTGTTGTCTGGGCATGCTGTAACCCAGCCTTGTCGGGCTTGTCCTCGCACTTCTCTCGCCTGGCATAGCTAAACGCAAAGGAGACGATGCAAATCAATATGCGCTACAATAATGCTCATCCCTTCAACCAGCTCAGGGTCTTGGCTGGTTGCTCTCCCTTCTTGTCGGGACCGAGCACCATGACTCCGATCGACTGCCCTTCAATGTAGGGAACCGGAACCTTGCCACCATGGTCGAAAGTCACATGAATCTCCGAATGGACATCGTTCTCCACAACCTTTCCCTGGTAGGGTGCTTTCGGGGTGAAGAGATTCCAGGGAATATCCTTACCAACCTTCACGCTCTTCTTGTTCACAGCTTCAGTACGGCACGTGGTTGCACTCTTCCTTCTCACAGCCACGGCCACAGCTGCGCCCGCCAAGCTGGCCAGGGCAGAAGTGCCTGCGGCGCCAGCAGTAAAGCCGCTGTACTAGCAGCCTGCTTCTGGAATGGCTGTGCCACTCTGAGCCATCTTGGGCCCCAGAGTCGGGAGAAACACAGGGAAGTGTGAGCTGATGAACCTCCGGCACCAAATCCGAGTGACATCTGGGCGCTGCCACAGGTATGCGTCAACGGTTTACAGGAAGCAGTGCCAATTGCATATTCATGTGTATTCTCCATTCACCACAACACCTCCTTCACCAAACCCACCAATCCCGAACCAGTCCTCCATTGCCTTTCCCGATCTCTGAAGTGAAACTCCGGGCCCTGGCAGCCACCGGCAGACTCATCCGGGCTGAAGAAAAAGCCTCCGGCTTGATCGATTGCACACACACACACACCAAAAAAAAAACTGTTCCTCTCGGTCAAAGTGCAAACATGCACACACCTCACACACCTTACCTTCATGCAAGCGTGGCATGAACAACTTACATGTTCACCTCTCTGTGAGCAGGTGGCTCCATTTCTGCAAGCAGCGCGGCAACAGCTAGTTGAGGCGGTATAAAAGAACTGTGTACATCAGAAGTGCCTGTCCAAAAGGGAGAGGCTACAGCAGCGATCGACCACTGCAGCAGTTTACCACAGCCGACGTTGCCTGCTGCCATGAGTGTTTTTTGCATGCTACCCACTCCAGCGGGAGACGTGGGAAGCCTCACACCTCTTCTGTTTCTCACACATCTTCAGTCCTCAATCCAGACCCAGCACCCTGTAGAACTGTTGTCCTTAGAGCGGCTCTTGCGCTTGGGACAGGAAAGTTTTGGAGGCTTCACTGGATTAAACTTGTCCAGTCTCTTCATGAGTTCCTTCATTTCGTCGATCATCCCGATTGTCTGCTTGCTCGGCCTTGGCCCGCTCGGTCTGCTCTGCTTACTAGGTCCGCTCGGCCGTCTCGTTCCGCTCGGCTTCAGCTTGGAGGCCGCCTTCAAGACCTTGATCGGTTTGAGCTTTGCGTGGGCGGTCTGGATCTCTGAAGCCTTCGTGGGCTGTGGTTTGGGCGCTTTTCCGCCCCCTCTTTGCCTTCTTCTGAATGTTTGTCGCATGGGGCTTGTGGGCGGTCTGCTGGGAACACTCGGAACTCCACTGATGCCAAGACAATCTGCAGAGATGTAAATAAACCCCGGCTGGTAGTCGGCATAGCCGGTGTCATACCGATTGTTGTTGACCGACCACTCACCGGGTGGGGGGTTCGGCCTGTTGTGGACGGTTCTGCGCTGTTCGTACGCCTTGACGTGGTTGTCTGGCGTCCAGCGCTCGTCATAGTAGGCATGTGATGGCTTATTGGGCAGAACATCAGTGAAGGCCTTGCTTTAGCAGCCGTGAGTGCATTCATGCAAATCATTGAATTGCACACGTAGAAGTGTGTATATAACAGCATCCAAATCACAATGTTTTAAATATACATATATATATATATACAGCTTAAGTATCTTCAAACGCATGTTGTTGAAAAGCATGCAGGGTGGCATCCCTGGGTGAGTTGCTAAAACAAATAAATATTCAAAAAATGTTGGCCCCGGCCTCCCAACACATCTGGTGATAAGTGAACTCCAGATAAGGCCCATGGTCACCATAGAGCACCCGCCGGTAGCCGATGGCAATTACCATCTCCTCGTCCATCTCATTTACAAACACTGTAGTGTCATCACCTTCAAATTTACAGTAAATGCAGTGCTGGAGCTCTTCAATGAACAATGACATGCTTGGAGTTTGCAAGATTTTGGAAACCCATGCCATGTCATGTCGGACCCGCAAACATCTATTGGACATGGTTACTACCATGGTTGTTTGGTTTTGGCCCGAATGCGGAGCTTCACTGCCCTGCCTTCTTCCCGGAGGCCCAGCTTGGCTTCAACGCGGCGCCGGTCACGTTCGCGATTCCAGGAGTCCACAGTTGAGCGAAAGCCAGGCAGTGGACGCGGGAGTTTGGGAGGCTCTTCCTGCAGGGTTGTAACAATGTCTGATATCCAACTACCCATGGGAAGTAATGAGCGTAGAAAACACGGCATAGGCCACACGTTTTCGCCCACGGTGGCCTTCTCGGTCCTGAAAGCAGGGGTGGAAAAAAACTTTTGTTGAAGTCCGTGGGTGGGGTATAAACATGCATGACATACGCCCCATCGAATCGAAACTTTACTAAAACAAACAAACAAACAAACAAACATTGCACGCCTCCTCTTATCCCAGGACTTCAGGTGCTCATGCTCGGAATGCGGCAAGTTTGCCGTGATTTCATCACCTTTGCCGGCCTTAGCTGCACTTTCAAAAGCTGCAAGGGTTGCCTGGAAACTGTCCAGTTGCTAGATGAATGGAAACTCCGAGGTCAGCACTGAAACATCATGAAAATCCAAATACACATTCTGCAAGTCCTGAGGCGAAATCACTGGCGACTGACCCTGGTGACGAATTGTGTTTTCTCGTTCCTGCGATCAAGTCAGCCATTTTTCATCAAACAAGCTTCACTGGCGAGACTTGGCAGGAAAACACTAACGAATCGAAACCAATCGAGAAAAGTGTCTTCCAACTTCGTTCCGAAGGATTTCTACGGATCTTTCAAGTACCGTTTTAAAAAGGTTCGCTCTGGCAGGTCGTTCATGTTTTCCCATTTTCGGAGCTGCGCACCTCCATGTGGCCAGCGCCTCAGCCAGGTTTTTTCGTAATGGGCCACCTTCGTCACGGGCGTTGACAATGGTACTATGCTTGCATTAGCCCAACCAAGCAAGCTGAGCAGACCTCGCCCTGAGCCAGCAAGGAACCAATGGAGCCCCAAGAATAACAGAAGTAGACTTAGAAATCAAGTGCCAGGGCAATTGACCTCTCAACATGAAGTGCGAAGTTGTCGCAGGCGCCTCTTTGATCAGCAAGCTTCTGGGTTTGTCGTTGTGCGCCGAGCACTTTGGAACCCAAATCCAGCCAAATAGTTCGGTCAAGGCAAGGTTTTTGCATGCAGGTTTATGTGCGTGTTCCACCCCTCCATGTCAAATTTCATGTGAGTTCCATGATGAGCACACATTGGCCATGTAAATGCTTTGGAAGTGTAAGTCCATCTTTGGCGAGGCATGCGTATATAGACATCTGAACCTTGTGGCAAGAACCACCCAGCCTTGCTCCCAATTAACGAAGCCTATGATTCCCAGCCTCCGAAGCACAAAAGCTAACAGTTAACAGTGAAACGGCGCCCCTCCAAGAATGCGTCACCACCGAGGGCACGACGCTACTGCCACGGTCATCGAAAAACACGGACAAAACACCTCACACCTCAGCTTGCAATCGCAGCCGGATGTTTGTGTAAAGCATGGTGCAAACTGTTTCACAATGATCGCGCCATGTGTGTGTGTGTGTGGGTGTGTGTGTGTGTGTGCGTGCGTGCGCGTGTCCGTCCAGCGCCTGCTCGGCGACGCGCCATGTTCCAGTGACAATGGCATCGCTACGGGCTGAAAGGCGCTCGTTGTGAAGAGTTTCGGATCTACCCTCATATCGCTACCACTTGGCACGGGAATGTTTCACTGTGGTATCTTTTCTAGCTGTGCATGGAAGTATGCGCCATGTAGCTGTGAGCCGACTATGCCACCGTGTCGGAGTGAACGGTTTCTTTGCTGTTCTTCCATGGGTAGCGATCTCAACACTTCAGAAATGGTCGCGAGGGGATTCGTAGGGCTCACGTATCCCGTCCCTGTGAGCCTGCCTGAATGTCCTACCACCCGTGTTTGGCAGAACAAATTTGACAAAAACAGCACTCGCTCCTTTTTCGAGCGAAGCGGGCTTGGGCCACTTAGGCCGCGGGTTCAAGGTAGTCATGCGTCATGTCCATGGGATGCAAACTTCTGTCACCCCACCTAAAAAGTTGTCACTGCTGTGCAACCTTTTTCTTCTTTGCTTTTAGATCTCTCCTTCCATGGCGTATCGAGCTACGCGCTCACGCCAGTTGTCCTCCCATTGTCGTGACATCACTGCCACGCACCAAGCTGAGAATCCTCGCTTGTATTCTTCATCCCATCCCAAGGCATGGTCAAACCTCAGGAATGGGTACCACTCACCAAACTTGCAGGTCAGCCTTGCCTGCACATATTGGGTGAACTGTTCTCTTGAGAACAAGCCGGTTGCCAGCAATCTTCGAGCTCTTCTCTCCTCATCTTCACTCAAATAGCGAATGCAATTTTCCAACTTGCTCCAATCGAGGGCCTCTGGTGGTTCATCTCTCTCGTAGGCTTCCCACAAGTAGTCGTCATCTGGCAAAGTTGTACCTTCTAAGGGCACTTCACTGTAGCCTCTGTTGCTCTCATCCACTTCCATTTCTGCTATTTCAGCCTCCTCGTTTCTTTCTGAAGCTGTAGGCCTGTACAGCCTCCTGTACCCATGATTCGGGCTAAGCACAAAGAACTCCTCTCCACTATCGGCATCATTGCTGGAATTCAAAATTCTGTACGGCCGTAGCCGTTGGAGCACCGGATCCCAATCCGTCAGGAATTGGTCCACCATCACATCATCTCTGCTCTGACTCCTCTCTTCTTCTTCCTCTCCTTCTTCCTCTCTGGGCCTTCTTCGTCCTCGGCTTGACTGCGAAACCTCCTCTTCTTCATCAAAGCTTCCTTCTGGACCTTCACGCTGTCTTCCAACTCGTGAACCTCCTCGCCTTTTCCTCAAAGGCTCTGGCAGTGCAGGGGGTGGTTCTCTGATCCACTCACCACCAGTGGCTTCAACCGAAGCTCTCACTGCCCATTCTCTCAGATCCAGTCCAGATCTTGTAGGTTGCTGGTCTTCGTCTCGGTAGAAATAAACGAACCAGTCACCTTGTATGTAGGGCTTGACCTTTCTGAGCCATCTTGAAATCATCTTCCATTTGGTGTAGCCAACCCACATGCCAAAGCTCATCACCAAGATCGTGTAGATCGCAAACATCAGGATGTAGGTTAGCCATCCCATCACCTGAAAGATCTGGCTCTTACTTTCGCCAGTGGTGAAATTCTCCTCACTTTCATTTTCTTGTTGTCCATAGGCTCCGGGGTTCAAAAGGAGTAAGGTCACCATCTTCACCATTGACTTTGAAACTTTCACCTTCGTCTCGTTCTTATCTTCGACCAAAGCTGAAATCATTTCACTTCTCACCTCCTTCATCTTCAAAGCCAAGTTCTTCTTTCTAACCTCCTCATGGAAAGTCTCTTCACCAACATGGCAAAAGAACTGTTCGGCACCTTCCACGTTCATCTCCATCACGCCTATCAAGAACATCAGGAACTCTCTTCTCTGGCGTGATAAACGCTTGGTGCCCAAATCAGCCATGTTCCACAAAGTAGGAATTCCTTCCATTCTGAGGGTCTTCTTCTTGACCTCCAACTGCATCCACAAGTATCTTGTGTCGATGTGTTTGAGGCGGCCGACACCGAGTCTTTCTGTGAAAGCTCTGCAGGATGAGCTGTCTGTGATAGTTTTGATCATCACTTCTCTGGATGTTAGGAACTGCCACAGCTCTTTCAACTGCAATGCCTCGGCGGCCCCACCTGCGGATGCAAGAAACTCAGCCTCACATGAAGATAGAGCAATGCTCTTCTGTGACCTCGACCAGGCTGACACCAAACACCCATTCAGGAAGATCATCACGCTGCTTACACTGTGCCTTCTTCGCTTCTGTGATGACCGATCTCCTGCCCAGTCGCTGTCACTCCAACTTTCCAACTCATCAACATCGCCCATACTGTCTGGTTGGAGAAGAATTTCTGCTTTCTTGCTCTTGTACTTCGTGTATGGAAGCAAAATCCCATACTGCTCTGTCCTCTTGAGGTAGAGGATAAGATGCTTCAATTCACTCTCTGCCTTCTTGGTGGGCCTGGCCATGAACTGACTCAAATTTCGAACTGAGTGCTGGATGTCAATCCTGTCCTGGGAGATGTACAAAAGCGTTCCAAGCGCCGACCGAAATCGATGCTGATCCCCACCTGTCAGCACATCTTCAGGCGAGCCTTCCAGGTCCATCTGGGTGCTTTCTGGTGTCGCTTTGCCTGCTCTCTGGGACAGGTTGTACAGCTCAATGAGTCCTGGCACATACTTCTCATGTGGTGCAATCACAATGCCCTCAGAAGTGAAGTAGTGGCGTTTCTTCAAACAACGAACAGGTTCTCTGGCATCTTGATCTAGTTGTGGGAGCGTGCCTGACTCGCTGATCACAAACCTGCTCCTCATCTTGTCCAGGAACCATATCAAATCATCTTCTCTTCCTGCCACTATCAGGTCATCCACATGACACACCATGCCCAGGTCTTTCTCTTTATGTCGAAAGAGTGACGGTAGGGATAAGTGATTCTCCATCCCCAACTCTTCAAGTGCCATCTTCAGGTAGTCAAACCAGCGAGATGCTGCATCACGTTGACCTGGCAAACATCGAGCCAATCTCCAATACCTCTTAGCTCCATTTGCAGCACCTTCAAGCTCTTCGGGCTTCCACCAGGCAGGTTGTTCTACTAACACCAGCTTGGTTTGAGGTACCAACAAAAAGGCATCTTTGACGTCGATGAAGCTCAGCTTCCACTGCAAGATGGCATGTGTTGCCAAAAGAAGCCTTGTAGCTGCCAAACTTGAAGTTGGAGCAAACGTCTCTGAAGTGGTCTGATCATGACCTCTGAACTCCCGGGCTACAAACCGACATCTTCTTTTCCATCTTCCACTTCGAACTCGCCAGTCAAAAACAGACCTTGTCGTGAGAATACTGCCATTCTCAAGATCTGAGCTGCTTGGCTCTTTTAGCACCTCCATCTCTAGCAGCCTCTGTATCTCCTCCTGTCCTGCTGCAGCCTCAATCTTCTCCAGCTCCTCTGGCCCCACCTCAGGTGGAGTTCCCTCATCAAGCACTTCATCTGAGAAAAGTCCTTCTTCTAGCAAGAGCATCTCCTCATCACCTTCAAACTCTGCAACCTCTTGCTCCCATTGAAACTCATCCACAGGCCGTTCCTCCACCTGTTGAATTCCACCTGCAAAATGCGGTGCATACAAAGAAGTAGGGCTATCTGCTGGACCTGTTCTGGGTGCTTTTGTTCTGCTTTCTGTTGCTGCACTATCATCCACCATCTGCTCATGCTCATCAGCGGGACGAGGACGTTCAGGTGTCGTTGGCGCACGTTCACCTACATTCTTTCTTTCTTCATCCAAGCCCAAAGGTAGTGGAGGCACACGAACATACTTCTCTGCTGGTTGTTCTTCTGGTTCTCCTTCAGCAGAATGCTTTCGACCGCGTCCATGGCTTGGCTCTTCTGGCTGTGGGGTTCCTCCTGGATGTTCAAGAGCATATCTCTCAACCTCTTCTGCATCTGGATCTCGTCCTCAAAGAGACTGTTGACCTGTGAGCTCAAGGTCTCTCTCAGCCTCATCCAACTGATCTTTCTCACGAGCTTTGCCGGGACCTCTCACGGGTCTTGGCACCATGGGCGTAGAAGGCAAAATCCTCATTGGCCTCCTCTGGTGAGGGTTTCTGAAAGGCTTGACTTTCACCATGAACAAGTAGACTGACCGCCAGGGTTCGCCGGTTCGTCGGATTGCCTTTCCTCTCATCACCCTGTCTCCAGACACCACCAGGTGTAGGTCTTCTTCATTGGTCTTTCCAACCCAAATGCCAGGTAGCCATTGTGGGCCTTGTTTTACTCCTGGTTGGCGCTGAAGAACCATGACATACTCACCAAAGCAAACAACTTTGCCTGCATACCTTCTTCCAGTGGCCAGCTCAAAAGGGGTTGCTTGTAAAGCACGATGGGCAGCAAACCTGTTGATCAGCCAGGCTGAGTGTAAGTACACCCATGACCACAAAGGATGACTTCCATCCAAAGAAATGAGGCACTTCTCTTCAGCCATGTGCATCAGGCATGAAGCTTGTCTTCTCAACGTCTGAATTGTTCGTTCCACCTGACTTGTTTGGCCTTTCTTTTGAGAGTTGGTCACTGTCGTCTCAAGACCTAAGCTGTGCCTGATTGTCTGGATGTAGCTCAAAAGATTTCTCATAGTTGGCTCATTGTCACCGATGATCTCTACGTTGCCATATTGGTTGAGCAAAAGCGAAAATCTCACAACATGTTCTGCCTGTCCTCGAAGGTCGCTTCCTTTGCCTTCAACTGGCACTGCAAGAAGCATTCTTGTCTCAGAGTCAACTCCCACGAGAATTGTAGTCAACTCAGCTTTGCTATTACCTCCAGACCTTCCATAGGCATAGTCCAACTGAATTGAAGAGATGTTCCTCCTTCCTTCAACAGAGTGGTCTAGTACTCGTTGATGGTCATCTCGAGCTTTCGTGGCCACACAGAAGTCACACCAATCCCTGTAGGGTAGGTGAGTGAGCTCATGAAGCTCTCTCTCTTCTTGGCTCGGCTGTCTTGGAATGTTGACTTGAACTACTCCCTTCTGCTTGGCCTCCTCCTTGTAAAGCTTGTTGGCTGCCAGGAACAATTCCTCATACTCAAGCTGTTGTACTTTCTGGTTGAGG